ACGACAAGGTGTTTTAACAGTAATTAACACCTCAGACACAAAATGCTCAATTACCCTACAATCTCAATCCGGAGAAACATGATTACATCCAAGTCAGCTTGAATATGTGCGAACGCTGAATAATCAACGTTTATGCAGAGGAGATTTCTTTCTTCTGGAAATGAATTATAAGATATTGGAGTTTAAATTTACATGTATTTTATTTTTTCCTACTAACCGATTACAGATTTTCTAACCGATTGCCATCGTTCCGACCGAGTAATCGGTTAACCGGTTACAAATTGCCATCCCTAATATATATATATATATATATATATATATATATATATATATATATATATATATATATATATATATATATATATATATATATATATATATATATGTGTGTGTGTGTGTGTGTGTGTGTGTGTGTGTGTGTGTGTGTGTGTGTGTGTGTGTAAATATATGTAAATATATATATACAAAATAAAGGATTATCTCCCTCATGCATAGGTCTTATCCTTCGACGTATTTTGCTCCAGTTTTTGGCATCAATTTTAACTCTTCCGAGTTTTTTTTTATTTAAATATTTTCGATTTTTAACGTTTCGGCTTGAACATCACTGAAGAGACATAAATTGTCAAAATGCACGTCCGGTGCATCAAAATTGGTACCGTATATGCTTTATATGTAACGGGTATAAGCGATATAAACGGTATATAAAACATATAATTTGTATGACCGATATAACCACTTTGTAATAAATGTATCGTGTATAGCCGATAAAAACAGTATATAATAAAGGTAGCCTGTATAACCAATATAAGGGATCAGCCATTTCTGTATCAATATTCAAATTAATCAACTTCTAAACGAATGATTGCAGAAATTTCCATAGAAATGATTGAATTTAGAATAACATTAGTAAAAACTGATTTAAAGCATTTCCACGGAATGTTCTGTCAATTCTCAATTTCGTTCCATAGACAACAAGAAGAATACTGGACACTAGGCACTGCTTTTAATATATGGTTACAATAACAATATAGATAGGGTGGGGAATCCTTCAAGTCCACAGTGTAACAACGTGAATGTGATGGGACTTTTCAACAAAACACAGAGACGTAAGCATAGTGAATAAAAGATTAAAAGTAAATGTATTAGGTGGATGTTGAAGTATCCTGTCAACAAGAAGAAATCTGGGCACCAGGTACTGTTTTTCCATATGGTTGAAATGACAATATCGAAAGTGCGGAGAATCTTGCAAGACAACAGTGTAGCAATGTGAATGAGAGACGTAAACGTTGTCATAGACATCTGCCTTCAATGAACCTAATACACATGATGTCTCTTTTGAATCGCTTCCTTATTTCAATATAAAGGAAGGTCTGCATCACATCAACATTTACTCTGTTCCTTTGAAAGGTTCAAATTGCCTTTAATAAAGGGATAAAATAATTTCATACTTGGATTCTTGTACACCAAAATACAGTCTGGATACTGTGATTATGAATGTAGCCAATTACAGTTTTTTTTAAGCTGCAACGTTTACGGAGGACAATAATCCTTAAAAAATCCGTCTGTTCCTTAAACTTAAATTTGCTAACAAAGGAATTTACGCCATAAACATCAGTAATATTATTAATCATAAAAAGATCCGGTCTTATACTTCAACATATTTTAATTTGAAGTTCTCTCTTTGTTTTCCTTACAAATATTCATTGCTTTTTAATTACAATATATATATATATATATATATATATATATATATATATATATATATATATATATATATATATATATATATATATATATATATATATATATATATATATATATGATAATCTGAAACATATCTACTTAACGCCTTATTTCAATCTGTATATAAAGTGTCCGAAAGGTAGTGTAAAATAAACGTGTTTTAATCTCTCTTAAAGATCTTATATATCCAAAAATTTTAGATAAAATTGCTTTATTACTCTTGTTTAAAAGTCAGCGTGTTCAAAATATATACAAAAATATACGTTTGACATTTACCCTTTTATATACCCTTGGATAGAAGTAGAATTTATATTATGTATATAAAAGAGCCTGGCGCAGGTGTTTAATGAGGATTTATTTGAGATCTTTTGTGGAATCTGTAAGAGGAGTTTCCCCTCTAACTGAATCTTGCTTGGGAAAAATGTGTGATGGCTTTGTTTTAATACAGATGACGATATTGAGTGGAAAATACCCTAAAATTTGTTGGTAAGTTGAATTCATTGTGAAATAAATTTGTACCAGAGTAATAGTATAACTTTTCCCAAGCGCATTTCAGGTTCACAAGCATGCGACGAGTTTATTTATGTAAAAAAAAGTTAATAATATTTGTATTAATCAGCTGCGCCGAAGCGATTTATGTGAAACACTTAAAAAAAAGTAGAAATGACTGCCACGTGATCAACGAGGTCATGTGATATCGTAACAAATACATTTATATATAGCCTAGAGAACTCTCTATATAAATTGGCCGTACTTAAGTTCATAACTTACAAATAAAAATCGACCTTGCAATGCAGTGTTATGTTTTGAACGCATTTAAAGCTTTGGGAAGCCTTAACATTACTGCGGTGTTCATATTCTTCTTATCCCTACAAATAAAATCCATCTTGACACGTTATTATTGGCTATATAAATCTCGTAAGGTAGGTCCGGGCCTTCAAAAATTTCTGTCGAAAATTTTTTTTTTAAATTTGAATATCTTAAATAACTCATAATCTAACTAAAAACCCATAAAAGAATGCTTTTCCGTGTTTATTCTAATGGGATTTTTTTCTGTCTCAGAGTACATACCTCTCAAAATTCAACAACAAAATTCAACATAAAGAAGTTAGTGACCATCTCAAAATACAGGTACATTTTCTATAGGATTATATAGGAAAATACTATTTTTTCGCACTTCGGAGCAAATTATACAAATGCTACTATAAACGTTTTGCTCAAATTATATTATTTGATGAGTAATACTATATTTTACATTTTATGCAAGAAACACAAAATTCTAAGTGCAAAATTTCCATAAATAATATATATTTCATAACTTTTATGCACAATAACATTGTTAAAAGCACAGGCCTTTGGATCGCTTATATCAGACTTAAAAAAAAATTGGGTGTATAAAAAAGATAAAGGTATGGAATTCTTACATCGGATACCCACTTTCGCTGATAAAATACTTTTAAATTGAATACTCTAAAGTTTTAGTTTCTGTTCATATCTATTCATATCTATTCAAATATAATCAATCTACATTTCTACCAAAGTTTTTTTTCTCGACATTAGCTTAGGCCCTGGTTATTTGCACAAACTTTCAACATCATATAGATAGAGGATATTCAATGTTTTGTAGAAGAATATGGTATTTCACGAGTGGGACAGGATTTTTTGATATTTTCACGAGTGCGAAGCACGAGTGAAAATATAAAAAAAAATCCTGTCTCAAGAGTGAAATAAATTCCATATTCATCTACAAAACATTGAATTTACTGTTTATTACATTTTCTATGATTTTCCCTTTGCCTCTGTCTTTTCTTAACACAGTGTCATAGGCTTGACGTCATAGTTGAGCGGTTGAGACGTCATAGCTTAGCAGTTGTGAGATTGAAAACATTACATAGCATGGATTTTAGCAACATATTTGGGAAGAAATATGCCGTTTTAGCTCTATCAAGATGTTTAGTTACTAGCTCTATGTTATGACAGGCCAGAAAATTTTTTTAATTACTTTGATATCCTTTCACACTGTGAGAGAATATCATTTTGGTATCCTTTCACACTGTGAGAGAGTATCACTTTTATTCAATAAATAAATCACAGTATTTCACTGTTGAAAATGTAATAATTCATTTTTTTTTACTTCAGATCGTAAGGTTAAGTCAGTAATAATTCCTTTCGCGAAAAAAAAAAAATTAGAAAACGTTTGCTTCAACAACTTCACAGCCATGTTGTTTATAAATGTAAAAAGAACTATGATTGAACGAAATTTTCCCGGAATGTATAATATACCTTTTGATTTTTTTAAAGTTATACCGCTCATATGTTGGTGGTAACTTAGTGAGACCATATGATCAAATCAGATAAAATTTTGTAGAGACTGAGTGCTAATAAACAAATATTCAGAGAGTATAGAATAAATTTCGGGAAGAATTCGTCCCGTCGTTCACGCTTTACAATTAGTGTAACTATTCAGAGGCCCAAGCTAATGTCAAGTAAAAAAAAGTCAAATTTGGAATATGATTTCAGCGTATCTCGGAAAGAATACGGAATTTCGGAAAGAACTTTGGCAGTAATGTAGATTGTTTATATGTGAATAGTTATGAATAGAAAGAAAAGTTTTAGATAATTTGATTTAAAAGTATTTTAATGGCGAATGTGGGTACCCTATGTAAGGAATTCCATACCTTTATTTTTATTAACACCTTAATATTTTAAAGCGATCTAAGGGCCTGTGGTTAAAAACAATTACATACTTTTTGTATTCTTATCCATCATCCAAAAAAAAAACTATTTCGATAGATATGTAATACCTAGAATTTAAAATCGGAGTATAAAATCAAAAGAAAAGGGGTCTGTGAAAGTATGGGTCTTCCTTAACAATGAAGACCTAAAATTACCAATATTTAAAAGTGTCATTTTTCTAAGTGAACCCTCTCATTCAGTTGTTCAAAAAATGAAGATAAAAAGATAATCGTCCATGTCAGTACAACCTGGGTCAGAAGTTTTATGACTATCTCTTAATGCTATGAATGTTCACGATTTCATTGCAATATAAATATTTATATCATATTTTATTATCTCCAAAAAATCTATATTTCATTGATTAGTACGGAATACTTCACCAGTAGCCAATCACTTTTCCATAACAAATAAAGGCTCTGGTATTTATTCTTTGCGGCTGACGCATCAATTTACAAATTTTCACAGGTTCTCAACACAGAGTGCAGTATGAGTATTTTTTGTGTTTTCTGTGTAACTGTCCTTTTCATTATAGTGTCTCAAGCTACCAAAGTTTCGAAAAATAATGCCGCAAAGCTGGAATTCGATAATAAAAAGTCGGATAAGGACCTCTCAGAGGAATATGACGCTCAGTCGTTGTGTGTATGTACTACAATGTGTCAAAATAAGTGTCGCTTCTTTGGTTTTAATCCAAGATTGAAGAAATGCCGTGTTCACTGGAGGGCCTTCACTTCCGGAATGTCGGACGAGATTGGATGGAGATACTATTCTCACGATTGTATGTTTTCCTCTTACTTTAATTTCGTTTCTATACAATTCATGAAATACAGTTACTTGGAATGCGTATCAGCGGTTATAATCGCATTCATAGCAGGTCCAAGAAATTCTTTATCTTTTGTTTGTTTGTTTGTTTGTTTGTTTGTTTATGTTGTATGCCCTCGTATCGAAGATTTGGGGGTATATAGTTTTTGCCCTGTCCGTCCGTCTGTCTGTTTGTGTGTTTGTCTGTTTGTCCGCAAAAACTTTAACTTTGCCCATAACTCTTGATTGGTTGGAGCAATGGCTTTCATAATTCACATGTGTATTTCTTGTGACAAGACCTTTCTCTGGGTACCATCATATTTGACCTTTTGACCATAACCTTGGAGTTTGACCCAGTTTTGCAAAATTTTACCAAACTTAAACCTTGAACATAACTTTTGAGCAGTTGGTGCTTGGGGATTCAAACTTCACATGTGTAATCCTTGTGAAAAGACCTTCCTTCAGATACCAACAACTTTGACCCTTTGACCTTGACCTTGGAGTTTGACTCACTTTTGAAAAACTTTATCCTTGGCGATAACTTTTGAACAATTAGAGCTAGGGCTTTTTTATTTCACATGTATAATTCTTGTGAAAAGACCTACCTTTGGATACCAACAACTCTGACCCTTTGGCCTTGACCTTGGAGTTTGACCTACTTTTGGAAAACATTAACCTTGGCCATAACTTTTGAACGGTTTGTGCTAGGACCTTCATACTTCACATGAGTAATCCTTGTGAGAAGACCAACAACTTTGACCCTTTGACCTTGGCCTTGGAGTTTTACTTACTCTTGGAAAACTTTAACCATGGTCATAACTTATGAACGATTGGAGCTTCGGCTTTCATATTTTACCTGTGTATTTCTTGGGGGAAGGCCTTTTTGGGCACCATTAGTTTTGATCATTAGACCCTGACCTTGATTTTTGATATACTTTTAAAAAAATTGAACCTTTTCCAAATCTGTTCAATGGTTGCAGCTATGGCTATCATATTTCACAGATTTATTCCTCGAGACAAGACCTTACTTTAGGTACCAACATATTTGATTTGCATTTGAGAAAGTTTAACCTTTGCTATAATTTACCATGCGGGGTTTCAGTGTTTCACAAACACATCTTGTTTTTTTTTTTTTTTTTTTTGTTTTTTGTTGTGTTTTTTTTTTTTTTTTTTTTTGTTTATTGTTACTTTTGTTTGTTTGTTTGTTTGTTTGTTTTTTTTTTGTTTTTTGTTTGTTTTTTGTTTGTTTTGTTTGTTTGTTTGTTTGTTGTTGTTGTTGTTGTTGTTGTTGTTATTGTATGAATTCACCAGTCAGGACTAACTTTATTCTGGAAGATTATTTACTGAGTAACTTTAAAATTAGTATCTAGTACCCGCAACTGGTTTGTTTTTCTCAGTTATATTTAATCCAATGTATTCTTCATGTATCATATTTTGTGATTCTTAATTGTCTTTATCTAAGATTAAAAAAAAGTTTTCATTTAGTTTTAGTTGTAATAATGAATTTCTATTGCTTAGAAAAAATAAGAGTGTGTAAAGGGGCGTGGACACAGTTGCATTATTTACATTTTAAAGTTCTATGCTTATTCAAAAAATGAAACCAGGTATATGAATTGAACTTACATGAATATTCTTAGAATTCAATGACAATGATATTTTTTTAAATCACGCCAATCATCTGTTTAGTAAACAGAGCACGAGCTCTGTTATTGTTAATTTTACGTTTCACCGGTTGTGTTCAATTTGTTAAACTCTGCACACATCTCTGAGCACGGACTGACAATACTGGTGAGTTGGTTTTGCTTTCTCACATTTCTAATCTGAATTTTCAGGATTATAGTTTTATTTTTTTTTCATTAATACACAACATAGTTTGTATTTATTTTAAGTATTAAGGATAAAGTTTACTTTGTGAAAGTGCAAGGCTGTGCCAATCAAACGCGTCCCGAAATTCGTAGTTTCAATAATTTCCCGATAAAAGAAGTTTCTGAACGCACTTTTTATATATTTCCGTGTGAAATGCTAAAGCAACATATAAGATATGATATTATACAGAAAATGTGATAAAATATGAACTTCAAATCTTTGTTCGGGCCCTTTTAATGCATTAACGGTGACGATGCTATTAAAAGCAAATATCTTTAGATATTATGTATCTACTTTTTAGTGCCTGTATACGGATATTTTCTTATTCAAATTGTAATACGATTTTGAGTGGTTAACAAGTTCCGTGTATTCGGCTGAATAGGTTATAAGAAACGAGATGCATTGTCTCTCTACACGTTTACAAAAACGAAAATGAAATGCATAAAATAATAATCACAATATAAAACTCCTATCAGTACATGTATTATTACAATATTAATAAAACCAGTAATTTTTTTAGCATTCAAGTCTCAAAGTCATCTTCTTTGGTCGCCTTCGTGCTTACAAGTTCCAGTCTGCACAAAACACCTTTATCCTAAAGCTGAATGGAATATCAATTGAGGAAAATCCCTGTACACTATTGATTAAACATGGATAACTAATAGTATCTACATATACGTAAGGTAGAGCCTATGTCGGAAGAGTCTTTGTTACAAGATTTTCAAACTTATATTTCAAACTGATAAATTAGCATTCGCTTATCAATCACTTAAAAATATCTGGTATGTTTCCTTGTTATTAAATGTAGCGTTGCCTGTGGTACTTGGAATTGTAACGTTTTCGCCGTAATGAGTTTGTAAGATAGGATAAATATGGCTAATTATGGTATGGTTTTAAAAAGCATGGTTGCGGCTAAGATCCGGTCTCTTAATTTCTGGTAGCGAATTTAATTATGAATAACCTGGTAGCGTTTTTATTTACGAAAGAAATCAACAAAAGATAATAAAGTTTTCAAAAATTACAGTCTGGTATTCAAAAATTTATGATAGTTAACAAAATCAACAACAATATATGTTTATATATATATATATATATATATATATATATATATATATATATATATATATATATATATATATATATATATATATATATATATATATATATATATATATATAGTCGCACAACGTCACTTGCTAGAATTACTGGGCCCCGAAATTCGGATAAAATTAAAGTTAATTTCTAATACCTAATTTCATAAATAATAAATGATATAAATTTCAATTATATATACCTTGACATTCAAAGATAATCTGAGAGCGACTAAAAATTGAATAATAAAGAAAAATCCACAAGAGTCTGGTCTGGAAAAAAGTAACTCTAAAAATTTACACTTTCGTCCACTAGAATCCCAAAACTTCAACTGACTACAAGAGTAAACGTTAACGCTAATGTGACGTAACATAACCAAACGTGACGTTGCAAAACCCAAAATCACGACACATTTCAGGTAAAACCTATACATAATTTCCCGCGACCGGAAGTAATGGAAAATGAAAGTACAAATATGTAATGACTTATAAATAAGGTAAAACAATGATGTACAACGAATTTGAATGTAGTTTAAACATATAATAATGATGAATGAATCTTCCGGTCGGTATAAATTAAGATCACAAATAGATAAACACACATTTTAATAATATAGTAAAAATCATTACATGTACATCAAAATTGTTACATCATGATAATTTTACACCGCGACTACATATTTTCAGCCAATTTTAGGGGTACTGGTCACAAACAGAATATGAAAAATCACAAAAATACTTCTTCAAACATCGTCGTTTATAGACTTTATTAACTGAACCGTATTAAACAATGTTATTCAAGAATAATTTCTTTCATTTGACGAAAAAGATTACGTCCACATTTCAACGAATATAGGTTCATGTGCTCAATATTTTTTGCGTCAAATTACCACCTTAATTTGTAAATATTTTTCAGAAGTCTTTGTCAGAATGTTTTCAATCTTTAATATGATGAAGAATATACCCAAATAATTACAAAAAGCGATTAAAATATATCCCTTTCCCCGCAAACTAATGAGAGACACTCTATTTATCTATACTTCTTTTGTTGACATTTTTGCACTTACACAGGATTTAATTATTAAACTACTGTTTTGGGGTTACGTTCGGATTACATTGTGAATATTTATCAAAAAATGTATTATTTTTTTTATTTAAAATGATAATATTTTAGGGAAACATTACTATCTTACACCAACCATCATGAATAATTAAAAGTAAGTATGAAAAGGAATGCACGACATTTCATGATAGACATTACAAAATTTACACACAATCTTTAACAAATTTTTGACTCAGACACATTTCATCAAGATATTGCACTATTTAGATTTCTTAGGATTTTTGCATTCCTTCAAAATAGTTGCATGCCATTCACATTATCACAGGTATGTAACTTCATTACATTAGACAATCTTGGTTTAAAGCCATAAAGTACGGGAAAAAGTAACATTTAATTAATTATGATGTCATAATGGATCTAGCACTACAAAGAGGACTAAACTCATTTACTCGATATGACGTCATTCGACGTAGGTTCTACGTTAATGTCCGTGCCTGTATGCCCCTGTGTATCTACATCATGGTTCCTATAGAAACCATAGGCGCTTGGTTTCAAACTGGTGTATGTTTGTATTACTTAAGGAATGTTTTTAAGTTTTGTGTGAATTATTGGTGTGTAAATCACACAGACTTGTCACGTAGGCATATTTCATGAAGCGCACCAAAAATGTACTCAGTGTTTGAATTTCTCGCTGCCCTATATCGTCATATTTTTATTAACGTCTCTGTAGCCTCATTGTGACGTCACTTTAGCTCGAGTTTTGACGTCTATATTTCTACGCGTGAGTATACACAAAAATGACTTTCAAATCAATTTCAAAGTTGGCTTAGTAGAAAAACACAGCAAATGTAAACATATGTATGTGTTTTTCTAGGTGTGTATAAATACACTCATTAAAATAAAAATAAAAAAAAAAGCTGAAAAAATATCATATGACTGTATATAAAAATTAGAAAGGTACGACAGTTGCCATATTAGATTTCAGGGGGTGTTTCGGTTCACATTTGATTTTAATCAATATCTACACTTTTCCTACCGGTGTTGGGTGAGACCTAGCTTCAAAAGTGATTGAATAACGCCCTTTAATCGTCTGCCAATTTGAACTTGCCGTATAAAACATGCAGTAAGCCAAAAACGTCCTCGATACCCAGCACTGAAACTGAAAGCAATGGAAGTGACGATTTCTAACTATGTATAATCTAGAGGCGTCCCGGAATTACACTGACAATCTAGAGAAAACACGTTTGGCGTGGTTTCTGACCTCCATAGATTTTCCACGTAATTCCGTATATGATAGAAACATGATCATTATCTTGTCTTATAAAATCATCCTTTTAGCATTCTAAAAAGTGCTATTTTAGCATTTTCTTCTGTTTCAGCACTTTCTTTGGACTGTAGCGACCTTCGTGATACTGGTCACACTAATTCAGGGGTGTACAAAATTTATCCCAATGGGAACATCTCCCTTCCGGTCAGAGTTTACTGCAATATGGAGACAATGGACGGAGGATGGACGGTATGTAGTTAATTTCAAAACTTTCTTTAATCTGTTAACTGGAATATTTAGTTTCGTGCCCAACATTTTTCTTCACTTTTTATTAGATAAATGTATATTTATCTAAGGTAATTCAAAAACGAATAAACGGATCCCTGAGCTTTGACCAGATGTGGACAGATTATAAAAATGGATTTGGTACTCCGGATCAGGATGTCTGGATCGGTAAATATGAATGTCTGAATTGTTACGAACTTTGCCTTATGATCTCTGTGGCTAGATTTGAAAATTGACAGATTATGATATTTTAAGTTACTTAAATATACAGACGACGATTTTCATTCAATGTTTGTTTTTGCTCTCTAAAGTTAAAATAATTGAATAAATTAGGAAAATCCTCCTGATTGAATAATTCTGTCTCCTAAATTGAAAACAAAATAATTAAATATCTAAGGAATCATAGGATGTTATTGTATGTATATTGCTTTGGAATGAAACCTGATTCTTTTCTGGGATTTATTTATTTACAATATGAAAATATGTGTCATTATATTGCAGAGTACTCTTCAATTAATTTCATTAATACCTTAAAACAGGAAATGACATAATCCATCAGTTGACAAAGGAAAAGAACTCGTACCTCTATGTTTCCATCACACTAGTGAACGGTACAGCATTGTACGAGTTGTACAACAAATTTTCTATTTCCGATGAAGCAGGGAAGTATCAACTGTTTCTGGCTGGACCTGCTACGGGCACCTTAGGTAGGTGAAAAAAGTTGAATATGTACTTAAAAACCAGAAGAGAGAGAGAGAGAGAGGAAAATAATTACAAACACTGATCTATTTCACTTTACATATGACCGTTCACAGTATCTCAGTCGGTAAAGAACATTCATTCCTGATCGGGAAGTCGTGAGTTCGAATCTCGGCCCCGACTGACCTAAGTTTAAAAAAATGGGTAGTAACTGTTCCTTCTTCATGCACTCGGCACTTCAAAGTGAAAGTTGCGGGTCCTTCGGGTGAGACCTTAAAAACCAAGGCCTAGGCCCTGTGTCACGGCGGGCGTTGGCACGATAAAGATCAATCACTGCTCAATGGCCCTGAGTGCCGAGTAAAGGTCAAAATTTGAAGCTCTTCGCCGGTATATGGTGACGTCTCCATATGAGTGAAAAATTCGCGAATGGGACGTAAAACAACAAACAATCAATCAATTTACACATGGCAGTGTATTAAATAACGTTTGTTGATTTAAAAAAATATCAAAAGTAACAAACAACTAATTATAATTTAATTCTTGAACGCTGTATTTGGTTGGATTAAAAAGCACTTTATATCGTATAAATTGGGTTGCCTGCGTCAAAAACATGAATTGTTTAATGAGTTCATTCAATCATATAATAAAACTGGGTTTTTTTCAGTTTATACGATGAGGTGTATCGGGTCACAATTTTCAGGTAAACTCAAGGAAAAAACATATTTTAAACTGTCCTTTTTTATGAAAAATGAAGACAATCAGGTATAAAAAGGGCCTTTTCCATCTCAGACAAAGGAAATTTATCAATATTGCCAAAAGTCTCTCAGAAAACAGTTTTTCATATCTTCTGGACCTCTTCTTTAAAATTATATTCAATCGAAAAAAAGGTATATGGGTTATATCTGAGTTGATTTCAAATTAAATTCAATGAAAATGTGTCATTTTCTACATAATTCTGGTACAGCCGTAAAGTACTGGAAAAAGTAAGCTTAAACCAATTATGGCGTCAGTGTAATAACCCGTTCCTATACTGTAACACATCGAATATTCATGAGGCTTATTGTCTTCAATATATTTACATTTCCAATGTCTTTGTCCGAGATAAAATTTCAAATAGTAACAAAATGTGTCTGTGAAACACTGATGCCCCGTATGGCAGCTTATGGCGAAGGTTAAAGTTTCTCAAATGCAAGTCAAAATCCAGGCCAAAAGATAAAAGATGTTGTTACCCAAAGAAAGATCTTGTCTCAAGGAATATACCTGTGAAATTTGAAACCCTAGCTGCAACTGTTCAAAAGTTATGGTGAAGGTTAAAGTTTATTAAAAGTAAGTAAAACGTCAAGGTCAAGGTCAAAACTGTTGGTATCTAAAAGAAAGTCTTGTCACAAGGAACATTTATGTGAAGTATGAAAGCCCTAGCTCCAACCATTCAAAAATTATGGCCAAGGTTAATTTTTTTCAAAAGTAGGTCAAAGTCCTAGGTAAAGGTCAGAGGGTCAAAGAGGTTGATATCTAGAGGAAGGTCTTGTCACAAGGAATAGACATATGAAGTTTGAATACCCAAGCACCAACTGTTCAAAAGTTATGGCCAAGGTTTAAGTTTTTCAAAAGTAGGTCAAACTCCAAAGTCAAGGTCAAAAGTTCAAATATGATGGTACCCAAAGAAAGGTCTTGTCACAAGGAATACAAATGTGAAATATGAAAGTCCTAGCTCCAACCAATCAAAAGTTATGGGCAAGGTTAAAGTTGACTACAGATAGACAAACAGACAAACAGACAGACAGGACAAAAACAATATACCCCCGGGGGCATAAAATACTTCATTTCTGCATAAATCTACTGGTTCATCGACAGGCGTGGTGGAAAAAAAAAATCACGTGCGGGACGTGACAAATAGAGACAGAAGCGAGGCCTGTAACACGTGAATTTGCAGAATCAAGAGCATGTTAATATAAGGAATAACTGTCAGATTTTTTGGTTTCATGACGATGATCAACCGATTGCAATTGGCTTGTGTGATAATTTTATGCATAAACGCCTTCGGTGTTTATGCAAATTATCACGCACGCCAATCGACTGATCACATAATGAAACCAAAAAATTAGACAGTTATTCCTTAAATCAGTGGTTACAATAAGTGTTTCACATTCTTAATTTTTCTTATTTTTTATTTCGCTTTACTTCTACAGGAGACAGCATGTTAAACACAGGCTATTCTTGGGCTGATCAGTCTGGGATGTACTTCACCACCCCAGACAGGGATAACGACGGATGGAGTGGTGGTAACTGTGGTGTTAAATGGAGTGGAGGTTGGTGGTTCCACGCCTGTTACCGCGCCTACCTTAACGGTCAATGGTATTCGGCAGACTGGTCGTCCGATCCTTGGGGTACAATATCGACTGGACAGTCTGTGAGGGAGACGATGATGATGATCAGGCGTCACTAGGTAAACAATGTAGATTATAGTCATTATTTATGCGTTATTTATAGTTAATTATGAATGATACATTATTTATAAATTCCTTGTCCATGATCTATAAGTAAATTATTTATATATAATTTTTTATGCATACATTTTTATACATGTATATTTATACATAATTTATTTACATTTTAATGACTTCTTGAAACATTTAAACTGATATGATTTTGTGTCATTTATTCTAGATGTCAGAACCGACTAGATTAGCATTAACGGTCGCAAATAACAACTGACAAGATAGTTATTCCCTAATTTATACATACATTATTTAAACATACATTTTTTATACATACGTTATTTATACATACATTATTTATAAATATATTATTGGTGAATTGGTTACAATTGACACAAACCTGTTATAATGGGGTGATAAAGATTTGTCTGTATTTACTAAAAAAAAATATTTTTGCTGCTGTCCATAAATTTAATGATGAAATGTAGATTTTAAACTGACGTCTTATTCACTTATATCACTTGAAAATATTATATTTTAATGTATTATTTGCATGACATATTGTTATATTTAAGGAGAGGAACCAGTAAATTGCAAGAACTTGTTTCCAATCCTTTTGATTAATTCAATAAAATATTTTCAAAACGGTACATTTTTTTTACCTCATTATTCTTACCTACATTTTTTATACCTACATTATTTATACCTACATTATTTGTACCTACATTATCTATACATACATTATTTATACATAAAACATTCACATTTTTATGATTTCAACAAAACATTTACACTGATAGGATTTTTAGATGCTAGGAATTTTATACAATTTTTGAAGGATGAAATGTATATGTTTATAATCTTTATATTTCTTAAATATATAATTCTTTATTTGTTTATTTGTTTATACTCAACAGATTCGGATCATACGAAGAAGTCACGTTTCGGGGCGCCGTGGACGCTGATGACACTGTTCTTCTGAACATTTTCATTCTAAAAAGAGTAAAACGATAATTTAAAAAAAGGGGGGAAAACCCACCCACCCAACACCCACCCCCGATACTACTTGCCTGTAATTATACAGTAATTTTTAATTTTCTAAATTAAATTAACTTTGCTTATGCTTTAAGTGTTGTAAATAAACTGTAAATTAGAAATATTTTGTTGTAATTTTCAAATGCTACCCCACTGATATATCTGGACCGATAAATTGAAAATCGTATTATCAAAGATCTTTATGAACATAATCAGGTTCATTTTTTCCAAAATTATTATTTTTAAAGAAAAAAATATTTTCCGTCTTATATATTTTTCTCTTCTTAAAAAAATATTATCCCCTACATTATAAACCAATTATATGAAGGAAAATGCTTTCACTTAGCTTGCTTTCGATAGTGAGGCTTATCATCGCAACTCATGTGATATTGAAAAGTTACATCTGGAATTCATTAAGAATGTTTTATATGTTAGAAAAAAAACAAACACGGCCATGATGTATTTTGAAACAGGCTGACTGCCTATGAAGACTGTACGGCAATTCCGGATTTTCTCTAATTTTGGTTTAAAATATTACAAAATAAGAATTGTATTTTGAGATCATGTTATGAGAAAATGTTAAAGGAAATTGAACAACCAATGAACAAGATCACGAACTGGGCTTCCAATATTAAAGATAAATTATTCGAAATTGGGTTAGGATACATGTGGACTGACCAAGAAAGAATTTGTTATAACAGCCATTTCTTGATTATAGAGCAAAGAATTACTGACACCTATGTACAGAATCTCCTTGCAGATATCAATAGGTCATCTAGATGTATGTTATTTAGGAATATTATTGACCACTTCAAACTGCAATATTATTTGGTAAAACCTATTTCTTCCATTTATAAAAAGCAAATTAGCAAGATAAGACTGTCATCACATAATTTAGCTATAGAAAGTGGACGCCATAAATATATATTACGCGAAAATCGAATATGCGAATTATGTAGATGTGAAATTGAAGACGAATTCCATTTTGTTTTAAAATGTCCACGATAGAGGGATTTACGAGTAATATTGAAAAAAATTACTGGGAAAAACCATCTATGTTTAAATTCATACAGTTGTTATGTGCACACAATGACAAGGACCTTTGGGAAAGTTTCTGTACCATGCTTTTAACTTACGTAATGAATGTCTCACTGTCTTATAAACAATCAAATAAAATGGTTTGTACATTCTCCACCATTAAACTGAATGTATAATTACTATGCTGTTAAAAAAGACCTGCGCTATGCCTTACTGTTTATATGTTATAAATTTATATTGTATACAATAAGATGTATGTCTTACGTAATAAAGTGAATTGATTTGAACTCACAATATGTTTTGTGTTTCAACTAGAGAAAATCAAATGATATGATCGAAATAATACCTAATAATTTTGTGATTAAGCACAATAATGTTTGCATTTAAATGCAATAATCTTTGCGTTAAAACGAAATAATTTATGTGTTTAACCCCCTTCCCCGCTGTCATGCATTTTAACGCATATACCATTTCCTATTTCTAAAGCATAATCACGCATTTACCGTTTTCCCGCAATCACGCATTTTTCATTCACTTTCAAAAGTACAACTAATCTTCAATTTAATGCCAGTTCCGTTTTATTTTATAATTGCTTAAATCTCACAAAAAAAGATTCTTATTGAAATATTACATCATAATTATTCATGTAAAACTGTACCGCGCTATAAAGTGCTTGCGGGGGAAAATAAATAGTGATAGTTTATTTATAATTGAAAATTAATTGAAAGCACTATAATAATAAAATGTTTTTAAATGTCTCTCAAAAACATTGAAATAACTGATTGTTCTTATGTTGGAAGGCACCTCGTTCCATATGGTAGGTCCTGATATAACAAAACGTTATACGTTGAAGATCTAATGTTAAGCATTTCTGGCAGATACCTGGGACTGTCGCTATCATTAAGACACTTAAAGACGAGACATGCTATTTTGAATTTAATCCTATAAATAACGGGTAGCAAGTGCAGAGTTTTAAGAGCCTCAGTAGAACTGTCAGTTGATTTTAACTTCAGTACGAGTTTTGCTTTTCGATTCTGTAATAACTGTAATCGTTTGATGGTAAATTTCGGCAAACCGTATATCAAACTGTTGGCGTAATCCAGATGGCTAATTACAAGAGACTGTACAAGTTGTTTACATGAGCCGTCAGTTAGGTATTGGCGAAAATATCTGATGTAGTAAGGATTCGAAGAAATTTTGTTACATTTTTCACTTACAAATATCTTAAAGCTTAAATGTTCATCAAAGTAGCATCCGAGCTATTTTAATAAACGGAAGTGCATTAAAATCTGCACCAACTGGATTTGGTAGAAGACACTGATAACATTTGTTGACTTCCGAACAAAAAAAACAAATCCGTTTTACTCGGGTTAAGTTTAAGTTTCAACTAATCATTAGTTTCCAGTAGAACGGTCTACAAATTCTGTAATACGCGATGATCATTTTCTTTGGCCTATGGGTTAAAACTGTCACACACGGAGTGGTATGCGTAAAACCAAGTAGCAAGTCTTCATAATCTTCGATGAAATTTTGTAATGTACTAGCGAAGAATGTATAGAGAACTGGACCGCATATACAGCCTTGTGGAACATAGAAGTCTAATTGACTAGGTTACGATTTTGACGTATCTATATGTACTTCGGCTGTCCTAGTGGAAAGATGTGTTTTTAACCATTGAAGTACTGAATCTATATATTTTATCCTTTATATTATTTTTGAAATAGTACAGATTAATTAATAATTCATGCGGAAGAAAAAATGTGTCAGAAATGAATTTTAGCAAACCTGAAAAGTAAACATTAAAAACATCAAAATATGAACATCGAATTCTCTCAGCCTTGACCAAGGGAGCACAGTTAAAAAAACACTTGATTAAAGCTCAAAATAAGTTGCCTTAACAGAAATCTATACGCAATGGTGACGCTACATGCTAAGAAAAGAAATAAAGAATTTATTCTCTAATTTGCTCTTCTGTTGTTACCTTTCTTTAAATACGGTACACATTCATTTCTGGTAACTTACAACTTAATTATATATTGAAAAAGGGATGACTTTAGCTTCTCAATTCTCAAGTTTCTTTATTTAAGTTAGAAACAGTATTCCACTATCATCTGCATATATTTTTTTATATCTACAAACTCGCCTTTGTATCGGGCTTAAGCTTGTTGATTCTTTCGTCCATTATAATAAAACGTGAATACAAAGAAAACACATTTAGTTGTCTTTTTGTAATTTTTTTGTAGACCATAATTTATCAGTTCCCCAATCTCCTAATTCTGGCAATATTGTTTCGGTATGTCTGAAATCATTTTATCCGTTAATCTAGGAAAGAGTCGGTTTATCTGTCAAATGAGAAATGGGTACATTTCAAACAGTATTTGCTAAAAAGAATATTTTAAGAGCAAAATGCATCACTCATCTTAAACAAATTGCTGTACCTCTTTTATTAATACAAGGAACCTATCACAACAATTAGTATTTGTTCAAAAATACGTAAGAACTATCATCTATTTTAGAGACATATTCAGGGAGCCGTAGGGGTAAGTGGTAAATTCTTTAAATCTTGAATGCTTCAAGTATATCTGGTAAATATAAAAAGTAATTTCTCTTAAATTCTCGCTTTTTCATTCTTTATTGGAAAATTATGAAAAAGAAAACATTCCAAAATTTTCTCTCTTTTTTAATGGCTGTATTTGATACCCCTTTAAAATACGATGTCCTATTAAAGCGCATTTTAAGCAGCGAAGGTTTTATAAATTGTTAAATAGATATAAACTTTTGCTGTCATGAATGTCACAAATAGCTGAATAATCCATACAAAAGACAAAGATACAAGGAGTAACAATGACAGATATAGCAAAACCGTTTTATTGCTATAACTGTTCTTTTTTCATCTAGAATTAGAATAAATAATTCAAATGCTACTGACAATTCTTTTTCGTTTCATTTTTCACAAAACCTAAGTCTATAAATACTTGCTTCAGTGTAATGGTTGGATTAATCTACACCATTTGTTGGTTAATTATGGATGAGGAAGGGAGAGTTAAACAGGGTAGGAATGAAAAACAAATATTATTTGTAAATTATTAATGTCTTCTTTTCATTTGAAACTAAATAATTCAAATTATCATGATATTTTATCTTTTGGTTGACCACAATTTCTCAGCTTATCAATGTATCCAGAATTTTTTTCAACAATTTAATCATTCGATACACTATACCGTTGACAATCACCAAATACATTTAATTAGTCATCAAATTTCGGTCTCTGCAATTTGTTTCAAAAATGCTACATCTTATAACCTCTCTCTCCTTGTACTGTATACGTTAGGACAGTTGTAACAGTTCATGATGAACTTGTGTTCAAACCAACTGTATATTATTTATGCAATAAAATATGTTCAAACTAAACTAAACCTTGTGTAAGTACTAAGTACTAAATGAGTTTGGGGATTATTCCTGGTTAGTGCATCTGACATGAACATGGTGAACCATGGGGTAAAGCAGAACTGCTGGAATAAATAATATTAATAACGATGACCTATAAAGAAATACTAACATCAAAGACAAAGTAAAGCCGTTTAAAGCCTCATAACCCCGAAATAGTATGTAAGTTATACTTTTACGTGTAGTAGAAAATACGAAATTAATAATACTGTCATTTGTTGGAATGGAAAATGGGGATTGATGTGGATGGCTGTAACATTGCAAAAATATCAAATGTTTCGAAGATTTCATAAAGAACGTTTCAATTCTTTTTTAAAAGTTCGGATATTTTTTTTAAGAATGATACTGTTTCTTAAGAACTTAAATGTAACTTTTTATGCAATGCGAAAAATGGTTGAGGAAAAATGATTTTGAAAATCGTGCATTAAAAAATCATAAGTTTTACACAAGCACAGTTCTTAAAGAAGTACGTGTAAGGATGAATCAAGTTACATTAACTGTCTGTCAGAATGTATTGTCTGAAAATTATCTATTCCTCAATTTTTTACACTCGTTCAAGCTATCAAATATACGGTGAAGTTAAATAAAAGTTCTATTTACGTGGGGGGGGGGGGGGGGGGGGTGGGCGCATAAGGCAGGTTCAAGTCAACAGCTTCAGAGAATCTACATATATCTCATTTAAGTACCGTAAAATCAGTAACGTTGTGATGAAGTCCAAAAGTTGTAACTTTTAAAGAAGACATTGTAATTATGTTTGTAAATAACGTAAATCAAATTTAGAGACAGTACCGATATGTTATGCATAACGTACGTTCTTTGTACTTCTTCAATAGACTATTGAGCTAACTGTTTGTTACTTTATGTTTCAAAAGGACGAAGATAGAGAAGATATGGATTGACAATAGCAAACCGTATGCGCGTACTTGTTCGTGTAAAATACAAGTTAGAATTACGCGTACGCACTTTCGTAACTCTTCGTGTATAGTAATGTATGACATGTAGGTGTGCCTGTGAATAATTAAAATACAATGGTCTTATCGTGAAATTCTTTTGTAAATCATTGTTTGAATAAATAATATGCGTGCATTTATTTCAAATGATTTGTTTTAAATTTTTCTTGTGTCAAAAAATGGTTTAAAAGTCAGTATGTTCTAAATGTAAAACTCTATAAAATTATATTGTTTTAGTGATCAACATTTACTTTTTTTCTGTCAGTCTACAAATTAAATATTCAGATATTTCAAAATGCATTTATCAAATAAAGCGGCAAGTAATGAGAGATAAAGAACGAAATCCTTTATAACATAATACTTGTCGATCTAGACAAATGTACAAACGTATAGAAAATCAAGTGTTATTAATTTATCTTTTGATAACAATTATTTCTAGGAGCTCTTCAAATATGATTTTGTTGATAATTTCAAAAGATACCTTCTTCTTACGTTTTTCAATTAGTTTGAGTTTCTTATGTCTGGATTTCATTTTATTTAAATTTTTCAGGTCTTCCACCTATATGCACCTGAGAGTGAAGATGAACAATGCAGTTTGCTAAAGGCAAATTTTCACCCCCCCCCCTTTGTTTTTCATTTTCTTTCCCCTAAGCATCTTAAATAGTACAATATACGGGAATATAACGTATTTTTAAAAAAAAAATTCAGCAAAAGACAATGAAGGAAATGACAAGTTGTAAACAAGCCTGAAGGCTATATTTTAATTACTCCAAGTCATGAAGATTAAATTAGAGATCAAATTATTTTTCAGACGTTCTAATTGTTGAAATAAAAATAAAATTAGAAATGGAAATATATTATCTTTGAAATTATATAGACTAATTTATATATTGAGAGAGAAATATATAAATTACAAAATAATATTCATTTTAAAATGCCGAGAAAAGAATTTTAAGAAACTTAAAAATAAAAACCATATAAAACATGAAATTGATTAAAACTCATATGAAGTTTCTTTTATATAATTCTACACGACAGCGATAACGCTACTGCTGAGAAAAAAATAATTTATTCTCTCACTCGCACTTCAGTAGATACCTTTCTTTAAATACTGCAAAAATTTTCCTTCTTATGGTAACTTACAAATGAATTATATGTAAAATTAGAATGAGTTTATTTTTTTCTATTCTCAACTTCCTTTATTTAAGTAACAATATTCCACTATTACCTGTATAGGCTATTAAAGCATTTTTTTCCTTAAATGAAATCAGAGGTCAAGTGCTATAAATGTTCAGGATTCCACTGCAATGTAAATGTCTATATCAGATTTCATAATTCCTGCTTATGATCTACTATCATATTCATCCAAAATAGAATCGATATATCGGTGATTAGTAAAATAGAGAATACGTCACTAGTAGGCAATCACTTTTCCGTGATAGATCAAGGATCTGGTATTTATACTTTGTGGCTGAAGCATCAATTTGCAAATTCTTACAAGAACGCAGTAGTTTATTGTATAAACACAGAGGACAGTATGAGTGATATTTGTATAATTTGTTTAATTGTTGTCTTTTTTACGGTGTCTCAAACTACCAATGCGTCTTTAGAATATACCGCAAAACTGGAATTTGATGATAAAAAAAATCAAACAATGAACTTTTAGGAGAATATAACTCTCGGTCGTTGATCGAGTGTGGCGTGAATTGTCAAAGAGAGTGTACATGTAGATTTTTTGGCTATAATCCGAGCTTGAAGAAGTGCCGTGTACACAGGAGAACTTTCACTTCCGTAATGTTGGACGAGACCGGATGGAAATACTATTCTTATAACGGTATGCATTGCTATTATTATCATTCTCTTTTCACACTATATTTCACACACACACACACACACCCTCACACACACACACACACACACACACACACACACACACACACTTGTTAAACGTGTCAAACGGGGATAGAGTTTAACGACTGTCAAAATATAGGGGATTCCTTTATCTTTCTCTGCTCACAGGCTTAGTCACACGCGCGCTTACGTCTTTTGCAAACACACCATGAATGGAATTGCTTGCAAATATTTTCTGTTCTTCTATAAATAGTCTTTGTGTCATAAAGAGAACAGTTTTAAACAATTTTTAGCGATAGATAATATTAAAAGACCTATGGAAGTCGGATCGGGATGTTTTGAATTTTTTTTTAATTACTTATCCGAAAAAAAACTATTCTCAGACATTACATGGAACTGGAAAAAATTAATTCAATTGTTATCAACAAAATTTTACAAACTACTTATACCACCATCTTTTTTATTTTTTGCCTTTCAAACAATTGTATAAAATACTTAAAATACTAATATAAGATGCATCTTCAGTGTTGTCTAACGCCGCACGTCAAACATGTAACAGCCATCGCCATTACGTTATCATTTTCAGTTCACCATCAACAATTTATCCTCTCAAATGCTTCTATTTTTTTATTATTATATTTACTGCCATTTTGCCAAAAATTGTCTTATTTTGAGTTGGAGTATTTAATGTTTGTTTTTTTTTTTAACTTTGTCCAAATGTTTATTTACTTAATCATTTTTTGTGCATAGATCTAATGTATCGCCAGATTCAAAAGTAAGTGACGTAAAAGATTGACTATTCTTCTTCTCACATTCTTCTTCCTCAATTGAAAAGGTGATAAACTTTTAACCTGACTTAACGCCAGACTTGAGTATTAATGCTTATAAAGGTAATAGAAGTTATATTAAAGATACCAGAGTTGCAGAAAATACCAATGTTAATGGAAATCAATGGATGGAGAGATGCTAGGTAGATGAACATGGATGGAGGATGAGCCTTTCACGTCACTTCCTTTTAAATTCGACAATACTCTAGATATACATGTACGCAAATTGAAATAAATTGCAGTATAGATATTGTATATATTTTTGTAATGGGATACCCCGAAACTAGACGCTGCGGTACAATGAATAATCAAATGCAATATGGAAATTTAAAACTTGTTTTAATGAAATAGCTCACAACTAAATGCTCTAGCACAATTAAGTTGGGAGTGTGCTTGAAAAAAGTATTTGTGAGATATAAAACAGATTTATGGATGAACTATAAAATTGAACTCCAAAGGGAAACATCATAAGGACATCGGTAAATGCTTGCCCCTCGGCGATAGAGGAGACCTTATGATGTGTTTATTTTAATATATCTAAAAATAATGCATATATATCGAAATGATTTTTAAGGCAATAGTCCCAAAAGCCTTTTTATCCTTTTGATTTTTTTTTTTGATAACTTTTAATTTTTAAATACTGTAGAGCATCTGTGACATTACTTTTCGATCATCCCTCGTTAGTTTTCTCAATGTACAACGGATCAATCAACAAGTTCGAAAATTTAATGTTGACGACATTTAAACACTACGAATACCATCGATGTTGAACTGAACATTGAGATTTTTTTATAAAGATTTTATACATATTTTACGATATAATAGATTAAAGGAAAAATCCGCATATCTTTTAGATAATAAAATAATTAATCAGAATCAAATCGTAGGAGGTTATCTTGATTTGTCGTGCCATTTCACTAAATTTCATTTTAAGTTCATGTATGTATTTATGGGACTTTGTCTTGTCATATAAAATCGTCCATATATGTAGTTTCTTCATTCTTTTTCTTTTTTTCTCTTTTCTGTTTAAGTTTATCCTAGAGATTGTAAGGATCTTCGTGGAAATGGTCAATGTATGTCAGGTGTATACGAAATTTATCTTTATGGTAGCAGCCTGGGTCCTCTTCAAGTTTACTGCGATATGAAAACAATGGGTGGAGGATGGACGGTATCAATTTATTTCAAAATTCTTTGAATATCATGAAAATTCGAATAAGTAATTCCATTGTTAAAATACCTGGTAAAAAAAGAGAAACATATATATTCTGAGGACACCTTAGTTGCATATGAAATTTACAACTTTTTATGAGAAGAATGATTATACAAATTTATAACTTTTAAAGGTAATCCAAAAAAGAATAGACGGATCTCTGAGTTTTGACAGGAACTGGGCAGAGTTTAAGAACGGTTTTGGTTCACCGGAACAGAAAGTCTGGATCGGTAAATTTGAATATCTGGTTTGCTGCCAAAATTAAGATCCTTGGTCTTTTAAGTGAAATATCAAATTTGAAAGCGAATCATAGATCAGACTTTAACACTGGGTAATCATTGAACTTCTGATTATTGAATTATATTCAAAAGTTCCTGAAATAAATTAATTGGTGATTTCAAATAAACTTTAATACAGGTAATGACGTAATCAATCAGATGACAAAGGGACACAACTCCTCCCTCTACGTTTCCATCACATTAGTGGATCGTACAACACTATATGAGTTATACAACCAATTCTCTGTATTTGATGAAGCAGAAAACTACAAACTCTTTTTGGCTGGACCTGCTACGGGAACCTTAGGTATGCGTATAGGTGTAGAATGTATCTTACAGACTAGAAAAAGGAAGAGAAAGGGAAGAGGGTGTTAGAGATCAGAAGAAATGAAAATTATTCCATACACTGATGTTTATATTAATTTAAAGGCTACAGTGTGTTGAAGATAAACATAACAAAAGTGACTTACGACTTATTATGTTACATAAATATATAATAGAAAATAAACGTTTTTTTAATTGAAATTATCGAACACTCTAGCATTTAAGTTCTATATACTTTGTATATATCCAAGTCTGTTGTTTTTTTTAATACTGTATCTGTAACTCTAACTCATCCCCCTTCACATGTTTACTCATATATGAGACCTTGCTCATTTATATCTCTTACCATAGCACCATTTCATTATACTTAATAGCGCATTCTTATTAAGGTCTTCCGTTTCCAACGGAAGACCTTCTACTGATTGTGATGATTAAGATTATTCTTTTTTTTTTTTTTTCCTAGACGCCAACTTTGACGCTTCATATCTTCCTCATTTTTAAACAGATTTTGTTCAAATTTTCAGAGCTTTTAGACTTTACAAAACACTGTCAGAATACCGTAATACAATTCGGAAATTACCTTCTGTTCACGAGTTATTCCCCTTTGATTGAATTTTGCACGCCTCCCATTTCCAGACAAAGGCTCAGAAATGGTTATAATTGGAGCACAAAACCCTTTGAAATTGAAAAGAGGAAGCATTGAAGTTGTGCACATCGGTTTTTTTTTTTTTTGATTTTTGCATTAAAAATGGCGCTAGAGAGGGGTCAAAAGTTAGAACGCGGAAAACAGCAAAAAATTTGACATATTTTCCTTTATATCTTGAAAACTAGAAATATTTTGTTAAGACATGTAGAACAAAAGTTGCGCATAATTGCAAGGGCTTTCATATTATACTATTTAAAAGGGGCTGGCCCCTATGATTAGGGATCTTGGGCCCTTAAAAGTTTTTGCTTTATAACTCAAAAACGGTAAATATTTCGATCTGGATCTTGGGAACAAAATTGTTCTTTTACACCTTTTTGATCTAATGAAAATGTTGTTTTGTTCGAGTATACCATGGGTATTGCGTAATACGTATTAGAAAGCAGGCCAGGTAAACAGGTAACGTTTTTCATTCGGCAAGGAAATTAGACCTCTTCATGTGTATAACTTAAACAGACTTGCTATCAATAATATGCCCTGCGGTATTTAATGTTAATTTTCTTTTTAATAAGGTTTAAAACGTGGTTTATGGTTCACTATTAAATTATTTATTACAACTAGTCTTTCTTTTCTTCTTTTTTAAATTAGGTTAATAGTGTTCAAAAGCGGAGAATATTAAATCTATCTTTCTACGTTTATTATTACAACAAACTTTGTAAGTGATTTTAAACTGTATGCATTGAATAATTCACGATCATTAGCTGTATGCATATTACGGTCTCCATGTTCAGCTCGATGTTTAGTTATGTAACCCAACGCGCGAATCCCACGCTGTTGATCGAGGTCACCAGTGTACTAGCCACCTGTGACCATAAACAAAGCTAGTATTTGTGATCGCGTATAATGTCAATTTTGTGCAAAGAGCTATTAATTAATGGAAAGTTATGTTTTTAATTATATCGAATCAGTAAGATTACTTTACCGATCTTTTATAATCTTAATTCCAAACACTGGTGCATAAAAATCATTTTGAATTTTAATCGCTGTTTTTGTCTGTTCACGCAACAATACATTTAAAAAAAGTATTGCTCTATCCCGTGTTGTTGTATTTTAATTCATCTGCAATTGTAATTGAATGGGGGCTTCGGTAAATAATTGTAATTACTACGCATGCTACGCACATATTATTTTTACCACCACTCTTGTGAATGTCCATTTATTATTTATAGAATTAAATAAACATTAACATAAATAAAAATTCCTTCAAATATACATGTACTATAATTCAAGTCTTTGTAATATAGCAAACAGTTTCATCCGTCTCTGCCGCTTTGTGTCTTTAAGTGTTGTAGTCCAGTCCTCGTTTACATACACGTGGCCACAGAGAGCCGCGGGCACCTCGATGTTGAAATACATTGTTGCTCTACACCGCACAAACAACTAGCATGTACATGCAGTGTAGTAATTGGCAAAGATTGTTTGAAAAATATAAACTCGCATGTGTTCGCTACGAAGCATTCATTTTAAAATTTTATTTACATGTAGATACCTTATAAGAACAAAATAAAGTAAATGTATAACGCCTAGAACAATGTTTAAAAATTAAAATACAAATATCGTGTGCTCGGAAGGGAAGATGGCTTGAAAGGGTGTGTCTGTGAATGCTTAGATCTAGCAAAACACTTCGCAATGTTAAGCATACTTGTGGCCAAATCCTTTAAAAGTGGGGGCAATCCCTAATCCTCGCACCCTTTCTTTTTGAATCTAAAAATATATACCATACTGAGAGTTGTATATAGAGCGGGAATGTTATTTTATTAGTCCTTAAAGGCACAACTTAAGAAATGACTTATAAATTTTTTTTTAGATAAGATTGTTTCGTGATACAGCTGTGATAAATCTTAGGAACTTCTAAAGTTATAACTTAGGCATATCTTAAGATAACTTAGGAAACGTTTTTGAAACAGGCATGTCAAGCATTCAGTCAGATCTATTACGACGTCCATATTACCATATAAGAGAATGAAATTTTGTTTTGTATATAAAGTGGTTATTACAAATATGCGTGTTACAAAAATGTATGTTGAAATCTTCAAAAGCTATCGAATTATTTGCATACGTGTACTCGTACATATGAACATTGATCAACACTGATCAAGTGTATACCGGGACCCGGGATAGTCTTATTATAGCTCTTGCTTTGTCAAATCATTACTTTCATACCCCTTGCATTTAAGAAAAACAATGTTATAAAAAAAAATAATAATCTGACATATAACAAGTATACATGTAGCGTGTGCAATTTATTTGGCTAGGGGCATGTACACACGTGGTTCGAAACTGTAGGGGGCTACAAATGCGGCCATAACTAGTATATTTTTGAGGTGTTATAAAAAACAAATAATACTCACAAAAGCTTATAAAATTGCCGTTCTATCGATACCTTATATGCCATGTTTCATCCACCAACAACGCCACGACATCGATGAGAAATACGTTTCTACACGGGCATTTTCTTCGAAAAGGATAGGAAGTTAATGAATTAAAATAATTAATTCTTTTAGTTAACGCATTATGTTTACCTCTTTATTTGTTGTATGCAATAAGTATAGACCTTACTAGTAATGACTGTTTGGTTGTCACACCTGTGCATGTGTCGTGCGAGGTACAGCGGTAAGGTAAATTACCGAGAGTCGCGATGTGCGGGGTGATTCGGAATACCCTAAATGACGGTGGTCCATTGAATTTCTACTAGTAAATCAACCTGTCAAATCTAACATGGGCCCACATAATACGACTAAATTCGTTTCATGAATGAACTGGTTCTTAACAAATATATGTATAGTATACAATATCTTTTCTTTAGATCTGTTTGTTTATTATTTTCAACCACAATCTGCAGTACATGTATAGTTACACGAAATCCATGCACAACGGCGCTACACCTGTCAATCAAAATCACTCGATATTGTGAACTCAGTCTGGTGTTACGGCAGCATTTCCGAAGTGATTCAAAATATTCTATCGGCTAATTCTAATTTTTCGCGTTGAATAATAATATTTTGGAACAAAGTTGGAATTAAGGCTGGAGCTGCATGCTGTGAATTTATCACACCTGCAGTCTGCAGTCTTCCCTTCTTACATGTATATGAAGCATCTGTTGAGTAATGAATCAGAGAGCATAATATGCGGAACAAGTTTGATTGAGATTTTTACTTTTCCTTTAAGATAAAATGATTAATAAGATAATTTATGCATCTAATAGATACATATAAATGTACATGTATAGCTTTTTAAAAACAAGAATCTGTAATTGAAAATGTGAAAGTGAAGAGTTTAGGTAATAGTTCTTAACCAAAATTTAATGACAGTTCATTCCTTCCTAGTCTCTATATAACTTTTAATTACGGCCGTGCCCTCTCCCCTTCAAAAGATGTCTAATACATGCTTTTAAATTCTGTTTATGTATCAAGAAATTTCCACAGGTACTTGTGGACAGGATCCCCCCCCCCCAAATTCAACCCCAATGTTTGTTGGACATTTTTTTCCACAAATTATATTTATTACACTTATTCATCATGTGTACCATAGGAAAAAATCGAGTACAAGTACCTGTGGAAATTTCTATTTGCCCCCCCCCCTTCCCAAAAAAACTGTAATTGTTTTCTACGGGCTTGACAACACGTACTTGTGGACAGACCCCACAAATTATATTTATTGCACTTACTCATCATGTGTACCATATGAAAAAATCGTGAAAACCCCAAAATAATCGTTCCACACAAAAAATGCCTCACTATGTATAGTTAAAACATTAATTTTTCATATTTCTTGATGAAATTAACATTAATAAAATCAACACAAAATTAATACCGTATTACATATCACTTGAATTTATCATAAAGCAGAAAATCTGTTCTGCGGGCTTCAAGGCCAGCTCAGGAACCTAAAGATGTCCTCATTTTCCAAGTCCAGTACAGAACGTAAATTAAATGAAATAAATCACACGATCACTGGGAAGAACTCAAAGAAAGAAGACTCTTGAGGAAAAGATATTTTGATTCGACTTATAGACTGAAATAAACCGATATTCTCTTTTTGCCACTCTTTCCTGGTGCCCTGGGACTCTGAATGTAGGATCAGTATTTTTCTCACAGGTCCGTTGTACGGATTGTACGGGGGGGGGGGGGGGGGGGGTGGCAGACCTTCTGAAAATAGTCTTTTGTTGTAGTTTTAATATGTAAATTTTGATTTAGTTGCTGCTTGCACCCTCCCCACTCTTTGTTTCTCTACGATCATACATAGGCGAATCCCAGCAAAAATGTAATGACCCCCCCCCCTCCAACACACACTTTTTTTTTAAATGTGTATTGCGATAGGACTTAAAATTGGAAAACATTTTCTGTATATCTCTACATCGAAAAATATAAAACAAATATTTTTTTTTATATTTCCTTTTTAAAACAACATAGATAATTATGCATAGCTAATTAAATACTGAATTAAATATTTATCTTTGCAGACAATATGCTCTGGGTTATAGAACATGATGTGAAAGCGTATCGTAATGCACCTTGTAATCCGTTGGATTTTCAGATTTAAGGCCAATGCGAAAACCTAAAGACGCCGACATTTTATTATGCTACTGTAATCGAAGATCCGGGGGGCATACAGTTTTTGTCCTGTCCACCTGTCTATTTGTCTGTTAGACTGTGTTAGCCTCTTTGTCCGCAAAAACTTTAACTATGCCCATAAAATTTGATTGGTTGGAACTACTGCTTTCATATTTCTTATGTGTATTCCTAGTAACAAGGACTTCCTTCAGGTACCAACATATTTGACCTCTTGACCTTGAACTTGGAGTTTGATCCTCTTTCGCAAAATTTTACCAAACTATAATTTGGCCAAAACTTTTGAACAGTTGGTGCTATGGCTTTTATACTTCACATCTGTATCCCTTGTGATAAGTCTCCTCCTTGGGTATAAATATGTTTGACCATTTGACCTTGACCTTGGAGTTTGACCAACTTTTAAACAACTTTAGCCTTGACAATAACTTTTGAATGACTAGTACTAGGGCTTTTATATTACATAGGTAATTTTCTTGTGACAAGGCCTGTCATTGTATACCTTTAATTTTGACCATTTTACCTTGACCTTTGATTATGTCCTACTTTTGAAAAACTTTAACCTTGGTTTTAACTTTTGAACAGTTGGTGCTAAGGCTTTTTTAATACCACATGTGTATTCCTTGTAACAATTAAGACCTTCCCTCAAGTACAAACAATTATGTTCCCTTGACCTTGGAGTTTGACCTTTTAAAGAAATTAACCTTGGCCATAACTTTTAAACTGTTGCTGCTGTGGCTTTCATACAAGTATATATTTCACAGTATATTCTTTGTTCAAGACCTTTATTTGGGTAATAACATTTTTTTTTTATCTTTTGATCTTGACCATGGAGTTTGACTTGCATTTGAGAAACTTTTAACTTTTGCCATAAGATGCCATATGGGGGCATCAGTGTTTCAAAAATCACATGTTGTTCAGTATCCAAATTGGGCATAAAACATTTACAATGATCCTTTAAAGCAGTGAGTTGAACCTAATAAATTACGACTATAGAAATTATGATAATTTATTTCGATGTATGGTCTAAAAAAACGTTTATTATACCTCTGTGAAAACTAGCTTACAAGTGAAAAATCACTAGTAAAATAGAATTTGATTGGCCGAGAATGTCACGTGTCCATCATGTTTGCCCTGCAACAAAACGTCGTGTTTCACGATTGTGACGTCACAATTAAACGAGTGAGGAGTTAGATTGTTTATAGCGACGCTGCTAACTTCGTTCGCGCGGTAACAACAACTAAAAATTCACCCCAAAAAATCACCTTAATTAATGGAATTGCATAGAGATATTAGATTAAACGTTCTTTATTAAAATGTTTGCACTTTTCAAAATTCGTTTATGGAAATACAGCTAAAATACGTCATGAGACGTCACAGTCTAGACGTTCCAAATGTCTCGTGCTGTTTGAAGAGGTGGATCTTAAAATTAAGTGAACAATGCACTCGCCCAACGGTCGCACCGTCAGCATATTATCGTTGATTGATTGTGTCGATTTAAATGTGTAAAAATGTAATGGTGTTTGAATGTTACTGGTGTGATCACACAAACTTGTCACGTAGGATTTTTTTTTAATGAAACGAGGCTATTGGTGTACCTGTAACTTACATCTCTTTCATATCGTTCTCATCAAATGCATGTTTGCTTTATTCATTGGATCTCCTTTGTAATTCCTGCATTTTGGTTAATTCGGTATTATAAACAATTTATTGCATAATAGTGAGGGAGACATAAAGATTTCTTCGCAAATGAAAAATCATATTTCTCTCGGGCGTTGCCTTCGGGGAGTATGATTTTTCATGGGCGAAGAAATCTTCAAGTTGCCCTCGGGGAATATGATTTTTTATGGGCGAAGAAATCTTCATGTCTCCCTCACTATCATGCAATAAATGCAAACTGTGAACTTGTCAACTGCGAAACACACAAAAGGGTATCGCTGATATCATACAGAGTGTATCATTGCCTTGATCAGGCCCATAGGAAGCAAATTCAGAGGTTTTTTTTTTGGGGGGGGGGGCACAGCCATACATTTTCAGTTGACAGTTGAGGGGGCACTACTACCATAAATTTCCTGACAAGCAAAAAAAAGGTCACCAACTACCAAAAATTCCTTGACAAGCAAAAAAAAGAAGGTTATCAGACGTTTCTATCGAGGTGGCACAAGCTATAGTATCTATGTCTACTATAGTAATCTATATATCGGCAAAATTATTGGGGGCACGCCCCCCCCCTCCCTCGGTTCCTACGGCCATGTTGATTAAATTTAGGGTCACTAAGGAAAGAATGTTTTGACTGGATGAATGGTCTGAAAGAACATGTGTTAACTTGTCGAGTCGGTAACACAAAGATGGGGTTTGCTTATAACCAGAGTGTGTCATGGTTTGATGCAAGGTCATTTGAACGAGTTCAAGGTCATCAACGGAGAAACAACATTCCTTAACTGTCTTTCTACTGGTGAGACATTGCAAGTTGATACCCCTTACAAGATTGCTTATAACCTTAGAATGTGGCATGACCTTGACTCAAGGTCACTTCTTCCTGTTCGCAGCTCCAACGGAAGACCTACTCGTTGCTTTGCAACGAGCTCTGCTCTAGTTTTGTATTCTATTACGGTTATCGCGAAGATCAGAGAGATGCCACGGACATTATTTTCCAATAAATCACAATCGTTATCGAGAAATTATCAATAAATTCAAATCGGTTTCCTCTAGTTTTGACTGTGTTTCACTAGGAAAAAGATAGAGGTGTCTTTTGATTGTGATGCAGATTGGTGGAGAAAAAATTACTTTTTTTTTTAGAATACATCACACTTTTTCTAAAGCTTGAGATATAAATGAACGAAGAGTAGTACTCTGCTATGACGATGCAAGACACATCTCATGACGTCCAAACCTAGCTTCTGCATTTCTCTATAGAGAGGATCAAGTATTCGCCGTAGTAGAATAGAAATAATTCCCCTAGTTGTCGGAATTGTTGGAAATTATACCCCGTAATTTTGTTGGCAAATAAAAATCTCGCCCTTCGGTCTTGGTTTTTATTTGCCAACAAAATCTCTCGACTATCGGGGTATATTCTCCAACAATTCATCCGACGAAGGAATTATTTCTTAAATACATCCAATGTACATGTAGTTCATTTCTGATATTCTCAGTATTGACAATCAGTGTGTGATATATACTTTAAATTATCTTTTTTTAATTTTACAGGGGATAGAATGTTAAGCACAGGGTTGGTTTACAGAGATCTGTCTGGGATGCCATTCAGTACCCGAGACAGAGACAATGACAGGTATGAAGGTAACTGTGCTGTTTATGCAGGAGGAGGAGGCTGGTGGTTTAACGACTGTTACTTTGCCTTCCTTAACGGTCGCTGGTCCTCTTCAGACTGGATCTACCCATGGTATCCGCCAGTGTTTTACAGTAATTCTATAAAGGAGATTGTCATGATGATCAGACGTCACTAGGTATATTCTTAATATATACATTATATATACCTTGTATACATTATATACATTGCATATATTGGGTCTTCCCATGGTATCCGGCATTGGATTATGGTAATTCTGTAAAGGAGACTGTCATGATGATCAGACGTCACTAGGTATATTCTTAATTATCTATACCTTGTATACATTTACTTTCTCACGTCACTTACAAAATTATACATTCTTACTATGCACATTACTTACTTTTTAATCATTTTAATCATTTTTTAAAACATTTAAGTTGAAATAATTTGTTTCATATATTCTGGATTACGGGGGTTTTATATAATTTCTTGGGAAAGATGCTTTGCTTACTATCATATTTTAGAGAAATTTCTTTGTTTATACTCAACAGACAGAAGTTTGAAAAAAAGCCAGAGATTGCGGTTCCATGGACACTGAAAAAGTTTTATGACAAAAGAGACACTCTACCACCTGTGTACATTATTACGCTCATGTGTTTCTCTTTTTCTGCTGAAATACTTTCCTGAAATTATAGATTCTTGTTACTTTTCTATATTAAATAATGTTCATGATGTATGATAATAAGTGGTGTATATAAATGGTAAACTAGAAATGTTTTCTTGTAATTTTCATTTCCTGTCACAAGAGAGGTCAATTGGTGCAAAGTCACAACGAAGACTAATATACTGTAAAACTTATCACCAAAGCACTTTATAAATACAATTAAGTAATTTATTCTCATTGTATTTTACGCAATGGTACAAAATTTTTCAATTAGACCAATGTTCTATCAAATACACTTTTATTATCACAAAAAAGGACAACTACCAAATACATCAGATATGGGAAGGAAAATGCTTCCATTCGTCTTTGTTTTGGTAGTAATACTAATATAGTTTTGGCGTGAACTGAAAAGACGAACAGTGATCGGTCACAAAAAAATTAAAAACAATACAAATTTGTGAACAGGGCATAAACAAGGGCTCCCAGAAATTCAAGAGTGGGATCAGGTGAACAGAAGTAGTAAGCAGCACCTGTTACACCCGTGGTGAGGCCTTTGTATTGATTAGGTAGAAGGAAAATTCTGTACTAAATTCATATTTAGTATAAAAACAAAGGCCTTACAACTGGCATGAAATAAACTACGAAAAATTTGATAATTTATGTTTTTTAACAAGGTCATAAAGACAGCCATAGAATTTATGACATGCTGACTTAGAACGAGGTTCATTATTGGTTTCAGAAGACAAAGCGTTCATTTCACTTAACGAAAATGAAAATCCCTGTTATATGATCAATAAGATTAAGGAAAGTCAAATTGGAAATTTCAGGTATTATCTGTTTCATTTGATACGTGGAACAATTCAGTTGAGGAGGTTGGATCCTGCTAATATGTTTTTGGATTTTTTGATACATGTACGTGGAACAAATCAGTTGAGGAGGTTGGATCCTGCTAATATGCTTTTGGATTTTTTGTCAGATACATTTTGAGTGTCTACATACATTCCTAATTAAAAATCAATGCCAAAAAGGGTGAGTACGTTCAAGGGCTAGAAACTACCCATGCACTATATTACTATAGGACACAAGGATCTGAAAAAACTCAATTCAGAGTCATCCTCTGGTGACCTTTCTAATAGAGATGTTTCTGAATATGAATCGAATCCGAATCTGAAAATGAATCTGAAACGAATCTGAATCGGAGGGATCTCGATCCCGATTTGAAAACTGGAAAAAGATATCAGTACAAGAAAATTTCTTAATTATACAATAAATAATATAAGTACATGTATATGAATATTGATATTTTTTCTGTGATTTATTTTTCACATGTACGATGACGAGGAATATATGGAATTTAAATACGAAAAGTGTTAAACCTTTTCTTCCTCCTTTTGAATTTAACAAGTTCATAATTACTTTTGCAAAATACAAGTACATGTATTTTTATTCTTCTGTTTTATTTATTTATTTATTTTTTGCATTAATTTTGTTTGTTTGTTTTTTGTTTTGTTTTGTTTGTTTGTTTGTTTGTTTTTTTCATGGAATTCCATATACGACAGCCAACTGCTTACTGCCAACTGCTCACAGCTTACTGCCAACTACTCACTGCCAACTGCTCACTGCTTACTGCCAACTTCCACTGCTCATAGATGATATTGCCTGTTTTGTTATCTTTAATACACATGCTTAATTGAATAAACTCTATGGTAGATTACAATAATATTTATTACAAAAAATTGGCGGATTCAGGAATTTTTAAACAGTGAAGGCAAGGAAGAAATACTATAGGTGGAAAGAGTTTTCCATCTTAAATACAAAACATTTAATTCCCATATTTCCTTGCAAGCAAATAATTCAATAGATTTTTTGACGGGGTGGGGGGTGGGGTATTAAAGGTTTATATACGTCAGAAAAAATGGGGGAGGGGCAAACTTTTAATAGGATCTTGAGTAATATTTGTTGGTATATGCATTTATATCAGAAATACTAATAAAAAAATCATAAAGGCCTTTTACTATATGTAAAAACAGTTGATTTCAGGCAAGGAAAAGCAATATCAGTGCGGGGGGGGGGGGGGGGGGGACCCAACATAATTCCCTTGACAAGGAATAAAATAAGTTAAAGGCGTCTTTAAGGAAGGAGAACTACTGTACAGTATATGTTGGAAATTAATTTAGTGGGTACGTCCCCCCCCCCATCACTACCACCACGAATGTTTTTACAGATCCAACATTAGCAATTAAACCGATTTACATAAGACACATATAAAAATTCCCAAATAGAGGTACTTTTCTTAAGAAACACCGAAAGATATTGCTAGATATTTTACACTAGGGAAAAGTTATGTTATTATAATTTTCAGTAATATTTTTAGTATAAATACATATACCAACAAATGTTACTCAAGTTCGTTCTTTTGTCGTATGTGACCCCCCCCCCCTTCCCGCGTCATAAAAAGCTACCAAAAAAATTATTTGCCTGCAACAAAATGCAGAAATTAAATGTTTTGTTTTTAAGAGGAAATACTCCTTCTTCCGATTTACTCCTTCCTCGCCTGACAGTTTAGAAATTCCTAAATCCGCCAAATTTTGTTATTATTGTAAGAACTACGCACGCTAACTCTCGATTCCCGCCTACATTTTCCATCCATTTAAATCAATGTAAATGGCAATTTGGACTTTAAAACTTGTTTGAATGCAAAGAAAAGTTCATTAGTATTAAGTACTAATTTTAAAAGCCAGTGACAAAGAGTTCATTGCTCTTAATTACAACTCCTTTCATAAGGGGGTAGAAAATTTTATCAATTGAAATCAGGCTGAAAACGTAAACATTACAAGATTTTCAAATACTCATGGAAATGGATAAATGACTTTTAAATCTCACCGTATGTTTAACTTATGTAAAATTCAACATATGAGATTGATAAAGTACATTTTTTTTATTTGTTATCTCATTTGAAATTGGTAATAAATGACTATTTTCCTGTTTTTAATCTTTAAACACGTGACCCCCCCCCCCCCCCCGTGAGACAACAAAACCTTTGGAATGAATTTGTGAAATAAAGTTTTCAATTCATAAGAACTGAAAAAAAAGATTTGTTGTTTCGATGGGGAAGATGTTTTGTAAATCAATTTCCATTTTCCGTTAATTTCGATGGTGAAAAATTTTCTCAACTTAGAGACTTACATCTCTGTTTTCCCAAATAAGTTATGTTTTACATGCGCGGATCTAGATGGGAGGGTCGGTGGGGTCCGGACCCCCCCCCCCTCCTGGAATTTGTAGATTTATTTAATGTATATACTAAACCAACTAAAAGTGACCTTGGACCCCCTAGAAAACGCGGATCCGTGTTAAGTTGGTATGAAAAGTCATAGATATGAAGATAGGAAGCATAAGTAGTTAACCCCCCCCCCCCCTCCAACCACCACCACCACCACCACGAAATAAGTTTTTCACAGTTTGGAAAGGAGCTTAGGTGTTTTTTTTTCTTGTAGGGAAATTTCTGGGTTGAATTTTTTTTTACCGGGGTGGACCCCTCCTGGAAAAAATCATTTTATAAAAATTCACATAATATCAATATAAATATGAAAATTTATTCAAATATGTGTGGCAGTTGGCAGTAAGCAGTGAGCAGTTGGCAGGAAGCAGTGAGCAGTTGGCAGTAAGCAGTTGGCTGTCGTATATGGAATTCCATAAAAAAAACAAACAAACAAACAAACAAACGAAACAAAAACAAACAAACAAACAAACAAAATTAATGCAAAAAATAAATAATAAAACAGAAGAATAAAAATACATGTACTTGTATTTTGCAAAAGTAATTATGAACTTGTTAAATTCAAAAGGGGAAGAAAAGGTTTAACACTTTTCATATTTAAATTCCATATATTCCTCGTCATCGTACATGTGAAAAATAAATCACAGAAAAAATATCAATATTCATATACATGTACTTATATTATTTATTGTATAATTAAGAAATTTTCTTGTACTGATATCTTTTTCCAGTTTTCAAATCGGGATCGAGATCCCTCCGATTCAGATTCGTTTCAGATTCATTTTCAGATTCGGATTCGATTCATATTCAGAAACATCTCTAATAAAAATATTCATTGAAGTTTTGAACAATCAGAGAGCTAAAAAAATGCAAAAGCAAATACTAAATATATTAATGGACAGAAAAGACTATTGTCATTCTGTTGACAGGCTACCGAAAACAGGCTACAATTTTCCATTCGTTTATCATCGGAACTTTTACCTGAGTAAGTGAATTCCGAGATGTTTTTAAATTCTTGCCAGCGAACGTTTATTGAATGATTGGAATTTCACCTGAAAATGACCCTGAATGGAGTTTTTTTTAGATCCTTGTGTAGAGATCTCTGTCAGCGGATCAAATGATCGGATTATAATCGGTTTGAGAATATAATTGTTATAGATATCAGAGACATATGAAAATTTTCCGACTTAAAGAAATTTATCACCTAACACCACTTCCCTCCCCAAGAAAAAAA